ACGGTCGCGAATCATATTTTGTTAAACATTCAACCTGACCCTGACCTGCATAGTCCAAAAAACGTAAGAAAATTTGAATTTCGCGGGCCACCCTGGAGCTTTCACCTTAACATGGCGACGCAGTCACGCATGAATGAGCTAATGACGTCACACGAAAGTATTACCAAAATAAACACTTTACTAACTATAGTTGTCTCTCTTTTCTATTGCAGCAACTGCTTTGTTAAAAAGAGACAAAACTGTTTTTGACAAGTGTGTGTCGATATTATTGATATTTGTACAACTATTATTTCTATAGTGGAATATGTGCTCTCCATAGGTATAAATTCCATAGGCAATTGTACATCCAACAGTTGATCTAAATGAAACATGCTCTAACTCCTTATGACCCTGAGATCTGTCGTAATAAACGCAGAATACCGGATGTACTGGTTATTGGCAGATGTCCAACTGCTTTTTCTAGGCGACAAAGTTCATATCTATTCTCAGTGCTTTATAATAATTTAAACAGAAATCTAAATTTTTATCCTCTTTCCAGACATGAATGTAAAGTTAAAGTTCGAGATTGGTTATTGTCACTTGATTATAGTAAAACAGAAAATATAATTTGTAAAAATGTGTGTAAGTAATGTATGTCGTATAATAAAAGTATAAAATTTTAAAATTATGAAATTAAAAATAGCAATCTTTGTTTAAAGCATATATTTATTCATTATAGGTTATAATGAATAAAATATATATTCTGTATGAAATTACATAATACTATATTCTATATATATATATATATATATATATATATATATATATATATATATATATATATATATATATATATATATGTGTGTATTTTTATGTATATATGTATGTGTATGTATATATATTACAAATTGCAAACTAATTTTAATATACCTACGATTATATAAAATATAATAACGACTAAAGAGTCGCATTAAGTTCTAGTTTATGTTTCGTTGTAAATAAATACATTCAAATACCTAAACAGTTACTTAAAAATGTTAAGCTTAGTTACTTAATTAGTTGTTAAGATTAAAATACTGTTGTCACACCACTGGGAGAGGCCGCTGATCCCTAAGATACAGACTTGTCTAGTTTGGGGACCAGAGTCTTCACTTTATTATTATACTTTTATTTAAATAAATGATTATTATTATTATTATTGGGTATTTGTATAGTTTTCTCATCTGGTTGGGCTGTATAAATAAATAACTGTAAATGAAAATGATAAACTTATATAAATATCAATAAAATAAAATAAATACATAAAAATTACATAAAAATTATAACAGTGGTAGAGCCAGGCGGCAGCTTTTGCTGTCGCACGGATGGGCCACGACCTCACAGAATACCAGCGTGAAGTATAGGTTTACCTCTGCGTTTCGCTTGGTGAGTGCAGGTGGCCGGATGCCCTTTTTACTGGAAATGAGGCATTTCATCCTAGTCCTCACGGGTGACAACGCATCTATATTTTGATTCGCAAACGAGAATAAATGTAGATGTCTATGGGCCACAGCAACCACTTACCATCAGGTGGACTGTGTGCTCGTTTGTCACCCTATCCTATAAAAAAAAAAACATAAATATATAAAAACCCAACCAGATGGAAGCCCTCGGCAGGGGAGACCAAACGGCCGAGGGTTAGGGGGAAAGGGAAAGAAACCGGCGGACGATGCGGGCGGTATCGAGGAGCACCACCTTTTGCATTTGAGCTTGGAGCGATCCGTCACGGAGTCCCAGTCGCCCCAGATGACCCGAGAGGCTGACTGGGATTAACCCGTTCTCAGAGACGACCACAGGAATAATTTCGGCCGGCAGTCCACCCCACATGTCGGTCACCTCGTGAGCCAGGTCCAGATATTTTGTCAACTTATCTGTTTCGGCTTTCACGAGGTTCTCGTCATAAGGAATGGTAATGTCGACCAAAAATATCCTTGACTGTGCCCGGTCCATCAGCACAATATCAGGCTTATTCGCAAGAATAGTCCTGTCCGTGATGATGGCCCGGTCCCAGTAGAGCCTGGCGCGGTCATTTTCGAGCACGGCTTCCGCCAAGTAATTATAATATGGCAGTTTCCGATCCACGAGACCGTATTTCAGTGCGAGCTCCTGGTGTAGAATCTTGGCTACTAGGTTGTGTCTGTGCAAATACTCAGAGTTAGAAAGCGCCGAACAACCGGAGATGATATGCCTAAGTGACTTACCGGGATGGCGACAAGCTCGACAGATGTCGACGGCGCCATCCTTTAGGATGTATTTCCGATAATTGTTGGTCTTAATAACCTGATCCTGTATCGCACAGATAAAACCTTCGGTTTCCCCAAAGAGGTCACCGAAACGTAGCCAGTGGAGGGAGGCGACTGTGTCTACGCAAGGCTCATGTAGAGCCTTGTAGAACCTCCCGTGGAGCTCCTTCTCCTTCCATACGGTCTCCCGGTCGGAAATGCTCTGTACTGCCGGGTCTTGCCATTGCTCGTTGGCTAAGGATAGAGGGGTAAGTCCTTTCACAAGAAATAACGTCCCTATAGAATGGATCATCCGCTCTCATCAGAAAGTAATTTCGGAGGCTGCACACTTCGCGATTATGCATGGTAAGCGCGCTTAAAAAGCCGCGCCCACCATGCTTCCGCGGCAAGTACAGACTCATTACTGACGATCTCGGATGATGCATCCTGTGGGACGTCATTATAGTGCGGACTTTTCCAGAGCGTTCAGTTCCGTCTGAGTCCACCTGAGCATGCCAAAGGTATACATGAGAACAGGCATGATCCAACCGTTATATGCATGTGTCTTATTAACGCCCGACAAAAGACTGTTAAGCACTTTTGTCAAGCGTGCATAAAACACACCGCAAACTGACTGTTTCATATCCGCCTCATCGATACCTATGTTCTGTGACATACCCAGGTATCGGTATGTTTCAGCCTCGGATAGGGTCTTTATGTTGATGGGTTGTTATAATAATTATTATTATTATTATATCTGTATGGTAATAATATAAACATATTTTAATATAGCTTGCTATATGTTTTAGGTATGGAGTTTAGAGTAGAAGGAGGACCATCTCTGTATATGAAAAGTGTCCCTAAAAGCGTGTCCAATAAGGGTGGCGCTGCAGTAGCATAGGATAAATTAAAAAAAAAGCGCCAAAAGTAATTAGAATAAGATGGAAAAATAAACAAGGACCGACCAATCCGCTTGGTTTTGTACTACGCAAATAGTTGAGATTTTGTATACTGGTATTTTACTAACTACTCTAGTCTTCTTCTTCTTTACTTTTTGTCTTCTCTTAAAAGAATTCTGCTAATGTCAAGTCAGTCATGGGAGTGACAAGAAGGTAAATAAAATCTTTTTTATAAGGTTTTTTTGTGATTGACTTCTAATCTACAACAAAAGACAACACAAATATTTATAATTCTACCAATAACAATGATTACTTTTATGTCACAGCTTAATACGATTAGTATAAATAAAATCACATAAAATATGAACAAATGAGGAGAACACGAGAGACAGCAGACAGGTATAATTAGTAGGACTAGGGATGTTTTGGAGAAGGATATCATACAGGGAGAACTTGAGTCGAGGACATTCGAAAAATATGTGATCGATGGAACCTTTATCAAGACCACATTCGCATAAAGAATTATCCCTTATCCTTAATTTGGCTAGGTGTACCGGTGTGCAAGAATGACCAAAGCGAAGACGGCAAATTGAGGCTCAATTATATTTACGCTTGTAAGTTATTTTGCTATCTGTATATCTGAGGCGACGCATGCGCGCACAGATCTCGCCGAAATTGTCATCGCACAATTTCCCGTCGCTTTCCACGCTCTCCATACTTGTGCAACTAACAGACATATTATTATGTGGTAATTCGATTATCTAATCCCAAATTTGGTGGCATGTTACTCAAGTTGCGCGAAATTTTATAACATAAGTTGAATAGATTAATGTGTGATTTGCGACCATAATTAGTGTTGTATGATGTTATAACCTATATCATCCTACTGGATGTGGGCTTAGCAATTATCTCTTACCTTATGTCATGTTTGTGCCACCTATGAGTGCATTTTATCCGAATCCTAAGTCAAATCAAATGATTCATTCTTTCATTACAGTCTATAAAAATTCCGCTACTGAACATAGGATTCATAAATGATCTCATAGGGCGTATATTTGCCATAGCTAGCATGCTTGTCTGGCGGGTAAGTAACAGCACCTTCTTATTATTTTAAGCTTTTATCAGAAAGATCCTGCTGCCCATCTCTCCTATTTCAGTTTCCCTCTGTCGCCTCTTACGTCATATGACACCCACGTGATGATATCGTATGGTAGAGCGCGATGTTACAGATTTAAAAAAAACATGCGTGAGTGTCGTGGAACACTCGGTTGGAATGAAGTTCCTTTCGTAGTATATAATTATTGGTACACATATAATATGGCTGATTATTATGGAGTGTAGAGTACAAAGAGGACCATCTCTATATAAGAAAAGTGTCCCTAAAAACGCGTCCAATAAGGGTGGCGCTGCGCAGGAATAATTTAAAAAAGCGCCAAAAGTAATTAGAATAAGATGGAGAAATAAACAAGGATTGACCAATCCGCTTGGTTTTGTACTATGTAAATAGTTGAGATTTTGTATACTGGCATTTTACTAACTACTCTAGTCATGAAATTTTTTAAATATTTGAATTCAGCTGACTTCTTTCCGTTCACAACAGCTATCTTCATATCGTAGTTTTTCAGACGCCAGCGCTATTGTGGTAGGTTTTGGAACCTCTATTTTCAGTAAATAGTAGGACACTTTTGCAACTTCGAAGATGGTTCTCCTTCTACTCTACACTCCATAGTTTTAGGACAGTTACTATCTATGGTTACTAAACTCCACATACTCTTTGAAGGCTCAGAAGGGCTAGAACTCAGAGCTGTAAAGCCAGTTTAAAAAAAATCATACTCTTTGATATCTATTTATCTATGGTAATAATGTTTGTGTTTTTATTATGATAACTGATGATAACCACGAAAATTTAATTATAATATGTAATACAGAAAGTAAATGTTTGATTTTCGCTGACTCACATATACATTGGAGGTATAGACGTATACGATTGATACGTATTTAATATATATTTATAAAATGCGTCTGAACATGAAAACACGGCTAATCCACTAGATCTAAAATAAACAAACCTTGAATAAAATTAAACATTTGTTAAAACATCATTTGCGTCGGAGCCCAGCAGCGCCTACGTCAAACAATGAAGCCGGCGACTGAACATGGAAATGTGTGAGTCAATGAATTTAAATATTAGCATCTAATTTTTTTTTATAGGATAAGGGTAACAAACGAGCACACAGTCCACCTGATGGTAAGTGGTTGCTGTGGCCTATAGACATTTAAATCTATCCTCAATTACAAATAAAAATGCAGATGCTTTGTCACCCGTGAGGACTAAGATGGAATGCCTCCTTTCGAGTAAATATGGTCTCCAGTTCTCTATACTAACTATACGAAACATAGCAGCATTAAGCTGCTATTTTAAGGTGGTATTCTGTGAGAGTGTGGTCCTTCCCCAGTTGATCCGACCCATTCGTATTACAAGTATACCAGTAATATAGTTGCAGCATGGCACTACCATGTGAAAATAATTATTAATAATAAATTTCTTAATATCTCTTTTTGGCTCAACTATTCAAAACCTAGATTAGGTTACTATTGAATTAGGAAGGGGGGGGGGGGGAGGAAGGATTGGAAAACAGACCACCCCTGCCTTGTGGCACCCTACCTACTGCTGCTGACATTACATTTTTCAACAGGATCAAGTTATGTTTCTGATTTAGTTAGGTTAGCTTACGACAAACTAGTCTAGGCAAGAAGAAACTATTCATATTCATATTATTTATAGCATCCATAATGTTACAGTTAAGGTGTTGAGAACATTTTAAGTTTTAACTTAAAACTATGAGATCATTATGGGCCCTGCAAGGCACGGCAATTAAGAGAGAGGAGGGCCATTATAGTGAAACAATTATGATAAATACACTTTGAAACAAAAATAGAATTGAAATACTAGGTAGATATTTAAAATTTATTATTTAAGTATTCGTCTAGTGTGTAGTAGTGTATATAAATTAAAGTTAATTTTATTTATAAAAATAGTTCCTTTTTCTATATTTTTTGTCGAGTCTGGGAGTTTGTTAAAAAATTTGATAGATATGACATAGAGACTTGATGAATGTAGCTTAAGGCGAGAAATTGGTAGAATCAGTTTTTTTTGTGGCGTAATTGGTATCTGGTATTGCTTTCTCCTCATTTGATATAAAATTCTGGGTATTTTTTAATGCATTTGCAGATTTCCAAAATGTATATGCAAGGTAAGGTAAGCATTTTATGTGTGATGAAGTATGGTTTACAGCTATCAGTATTTTGTAAGTTAAGTATTATTCGTATTAGTTTTTTTTGTAGGGTTAAAAGATCAGAAACGTCTGCATGTCTACATAACCCAGTAGCAGAGCCACGAATACGCATAAGCATAATAGGTACTGAGGTCGGTTTGTATGTCGGTAGATTTTTCACTTCTCGGAGAGCATATGTAAAATTTGCTAATTTCCTTTTAATTTTCATTGTGTGGGGTTTCCAGTTAATAGTTGTGTCTATTGTTAAGCCAAGTAGGATGAATTTGTTTACTTTTCCTTTTTTTATGTTATCGTGTAAAGTTTATATTTAGTGAAACTTTTTGGTAAGGGTGAAAACTTATTATTTTCGTTTTGGAGAAACTAAGTACTTTGTTCATATGATACATGTTTATATTACTAAATACTCCTGATCAAAAGTAATTTTAATTACTGATCTTGATCATAATTGCTTTTCACAAAGTAAAGAACGCAAAGTAAGAAAGAAGGAATGGACAGAGAGCAGCTGACTATCGTCCCTCCCTTTCTTTAGTGTTGCCATTTTAATAAAATAAAATTACCAATCAAAATCAAATGCTTAAACAGCAAATGTATTCCTATAACTAGCTGTTCCCCGCGACTTCGTTCGCGTGTTAGGGTTTTTATGTTTCTGCGCGGAACCCTAATTATTTTTCTAAAATAAAAGTAGCCTATGTTACTCCTTATGAAATCAGCTATCTGCCAGTGAAAGTCCCGTCAAAAACAGTCCAGCCGTTTCGGAGATTACCCGGAACAAACAGACAGACAGACAGACAGACAGACAGACAAAAATTTTAAAAATCGTATTTTAGTTATAGGTATCGTATTTACTTTCATATGCATTTAGAAAAAAACTGTAATTTTGACATTACAAACAGACACTTCAATTTTATTTATTTGTATAGATTAAAGAAGTGAAAACCTAACATTCGTCCATCCTGACTTTGTGCATACCCTCATGCGTGGTAAAGAAACCTAATATTTTTTCAAGAGACCTAGGTACAGATAATTAAACAATAATAGAAACAATAAGGGAAAACTTACATATTATTATAATATATATCTTACAAATTAGCTTTAAAAATCAAAAAGTCATAAACAAAATCGAACATTGTATGTGGTAGAGCCATGCTGCAGCTATATTAGTAGTATAGTTGTAGCACAAATGGGTCGTTTCGACTAGGGAATGACCACGCTCTCACAGAATACCAGCTTAACCCTGCTTTGTTTTGTACAATGAGTTTAGAGAACCGGTGACCCTTTTTACTGGAAACGAGACATTCCACTTAGTCCTCACGGGTGACAACGCATCTGCATTTTGATTTGTAATTTAGGATAGATGTAGATGTCTATGGGCCACAGCAACAACTTACCATCAGGTGGACTGTGTGCTCGTTTCTCACTATAAGCTTTAACCATAGCATTTTGTATACACTTAATATATTGCTCTGTGGACCAATCCATTACAGGTGTTTTGTTCCCCATCACAATTTCTAATCCTTTCTTACAAACTGGACACGTTTTACAAACAAACACTGTGCGGTATACTTCATTGACTCAGTTACAAGCTCACCCATTAACATTTTACATCTTCTCACAGCTATCCATGTTCAACACTTACATTGTCTAGAACTTAATCATAAAAATCCTTGTCCATATTAGGGTCTACTGATTTAATTATAATTTAACAGATTTACTCCATCCATGAGGCCTATGTTCACGGCTGAACATAGGCCTCCCTCATAAATTGTCTCATGGGGGGTTTTTGCCATAGTTGACACGCTTGGCAAGTGGGTTGATACCCTCAGGACGATAAGGGGTAGTGGCTATTCTTACACCTCCACTATGGTTAAACAGATTTATTATTGTAGCATAATAATATTTACTATGTAAGTGAACTGTAAAATAAATGAATAAAAGAATTGGTCTGCTTTATTGGTTTTATGACTATTACTATCCGCATCATCATTTGCTTTGCAGTAACGATAATTCGTACCGTTCCACTAGGAGCGTAACAAAATTAATTCCTTGGCTATAACAATACTAACAAACGGAACGAAATCTACAACTATTTAATAGCAATATTAAAAATATATCGTTATTAATATAACAATATTGTTACGGCCCGCAGCTGCCCCTGCATAGATCGCCTTGGCTGGGGCCCATAGCAGCCTCCTCGACGGACAGACGCGGGTCGGACCCAAATGGCCATATGGAAAAATGTCCTATCATACTAAACTGTAGGGAGAAGGCTAGAAAAATATAGTACGTACCTGTATCCGAATCTAAGACCGCCCCAAGGCTCGGCCAGGCCGTAGGTGGGTGTAAGATGCATGGAAAGTAGTGTTTAGTGATGTGTATGTGTCTGAGGCCTGGCCCAGCTGAGGTGACCGGCAGCGGCCGATTTCCATGCTGCCCCACAATGCTGCATCACTCCAGCAGGCTTCCCCGCTGGACCATTTCTTTCTTCATGTCACTATTTCAGTCTATTAACTTCATTGTACATTTAACTAACTTAAACTCGCCTAATTCCACATTCATCGTAGAATCGAACACGTGATACCCGACACAGTAACGGACAGTAGTTCAAAGTTCAACATTCTATGTCCCGGATTCATTTATCACTAAATTACGAATAGTGAACTAACGCGATCTCTTCATGAGTCACACGGTTCAGCGTTACAAACACAACAAAATTCCTTCGTTCGATATCAAATACTACGCTGCGATAAGAATTCAAAATCCGCCTCGTTGACACGTAAAACTAACAAAACAGTCAACACACAAAAAAAGGGCACTTAACGCGACGGCACAATTACAATGATCTCCAAAACAGTCAACCGGCGACTCCCTCGAAAAAGAAATGCGCTGTCCAAATTCTAAACAGTATCTCTAATCGGCGCGCACGCAATTCCACGTCACACGAGCAAGTTAAATATTACAAAATGTACTTGTGTTATTAGCTAGTGGATACAGTTGTTTTTCGTGTGTTCTTGGTACCTAACCATTAGTCCCGGAATAGCTGCTACCCCATATCTATCATTTCCTAATACTGAGATTACTCGATATGGGCCTAAGTGAAGGAAGAGGTTTTTTACTCTTTCCTTTATTTGGAAAAGCTATAATCGTTATTTTTACTAACTCACCTTCAGCATAAACCTTAGGGGGCATCTCACTCTATTGAACCTCAGTTTTGCTTCTCTTGTTGAGTATCAATAGTAATTTTTTAGGAATGGTGGCTAGATTGTGTATTTCTTGAGTTTTTTGATGAATTGTATTAAGCTAGGGATTAACTTTGCAATTTATACCTGTATGTAATAAACATAATTTCAGCCGGTGTTTTGCTAGTGGTCTCAAGGTATGTGTTGTTCAATTGCCACTATACTCTTCCAATCGTATTATCCCACTCTTTTTCGTCGCAATTTATTCGAAAAATTGTGTGCAAGAAAAAAAGGGTTAAGAGTAGTCTGTATCTTTCGACCTGGTCGTTGGAATGTTGCTACAGCGTTAAGGAGGTGTCTTATGTCTTTATCTAGACAAAATCTTTTGAAAGTGTGTGATGTGAAACATGTTCCTCTGTCACTTATATTGCGACCCAAAATGCGGAAAATATAAATAATATCCTTAAGAGCTCTAATTGAGTGTATGTGTTACGATACACCAGCCTAGCAAATACGAATTTAGTGAACCTATCGACAATAACCAAAAGATGAATATTGGCGCGTTTTGACCTAACAAAGGGTCCTAGGTGGTCTATATGCAGTATGTGAAATAGGATTTCGAACTTTTCGATCGGATATAAGAATCCTTTTTTCGTATAATTGTTTTTCTAGGCACATTCTATACATGCATTCA